AATAGGGTCCGTCCATTCCCGGGTCACATCAATTGCGTTGTCCCAATAACATGCTGCGGTCCGCTGGTAAATAGAGGTTAACTCCAACTACCTCCTTCCCAACCGTTATCTTCAGTGGACTGGGCCTTTCGTCAAGAAGATTCCATGATGTTAGGTGACCTCGCTTTGCCCACCTGGAACATCAAACCATGACAAACCCAACTCAACACCCCCAAAGAAAGGTGTTCACAATATTTCTGGGCAAATAAGGCGAGCCCACCTGACGAGGTACGAGGTAGAGTAATTTGAAAACGAAAATGCGAGGTAAGTCCAGCACCAGCGATAGCAGCACCAGCAACAAGGGTTTGGGCTTGGATAGCCCACTCCTGGGTGTAGCTTCCACAAGCCATAGAGATGCCAAACAGAAACCCACGAAGCTACAAAGACAAAAACAACCAATTTCCTGGGTGTGTTTCGGCTACCATTTTCCCCAAATAAATTCTGTTGATTTCAGTGCACCAACCCAAACATTTCCAATACACACCGTAAACATGACCAGTGCGAGGAACCTCTAACATGGAGAGACGGTTTTAATCACCCCGAAACATTTTTTGGGTATTATATAAGATAGCCATGCCAGGGCCCTCCAACAGGTCACCCACCACCGGCCACTGTTAAATATCCAGGAACATCGAAAAACCACTAGAGGAAACCTCTTTTTTCGGGTGCGCGTATATGTAGTCCAAGAAAGAACATGCAAGATGAATGATTCCTGGAGTCCTAGAGTTGATGAACTCCCATGTGTATGGTGTGTGCTGAATGGTTCGTTGCTAGAGCTGATGAAGTCCCATGGGGCCATGATTTGCGCTTGATCCCCGATCCAGGTGTGTTTAAGTCTGGATTGGCACCTGATCTCTGTGATCACGTTGGACCTGGGGCCGCATTTGCATGCTTTGGTGGAAGACCCCCAGCATCGCAATTTTGATGCGGAACATCCAGGTGATTTGAAGAGCAAGGGTGGGTGTTGGAAGACCAGTGGAGGTAGCGAAAAGTACCAGTGGTGTTTGTAGGCTGTTCAAAAGTTTCATGAAGTGCATGTGATACTTGAAATCAATCGTTGGCATGTATTTTGCTTTGTTGACATCATCAACTAGAAATCACTTTGTATATGTTTTTGCTGCAACTCTGCAGTGGGTACCTAGTGGTTGGCTAGAGTTTTTTTGTTTTCAGGAAGGGCTGGTCAAGACAGTCCGGCGCCTGCCCGATTGCTCGAGGTCGCACAATCAGGTCGAGCACGCAACGCCAGACCCGGGGCACTTTCCTGCTGAGAGCCAAGCACTCATGTCCCGTAGCCAAGGCAGGGACCTCTTCTGCTTGTTGGATACTGTTGCACTTTACACTCCCTGAAAGAAACCACGGTTACGGGGAAATCCATCTGCTTGGACTGCGGATTTCATGGTGATCCGAGATCAAAACCATGCCATCCATGTTGGCCGATGGCTTATTTCAGGGAGTGTAGTAGCTAACCCTCCCCTCGAAGGAGCCAACAATAGATCCCAATCCCTTGGCTTCCACAATGGCCTCTTAAAGTGATTGCCTAGACCCTAGTGAGGCCATCATTTCTGCCCATGTTCATTTGGCAAGAGCATTTGCATGTTTTCACGGACAATCATTGGAGGCAGAACTGTTTGCTAAAGATAAAAGAAGAACCTTCTAGGTATGACATTCTACTGAGTACAACAGGTGATGCATCCCGACCCTCCAACTCGAGTAAGCATATGCTGCAATTGGTCAACCCCCCAAGGGGGCCCTTGATCGCTGCTGCTGCGATACCGTCGACTTCTCCAATATTTCCAGAGAAAATCCACAGATTTTTGACTGCAATTGTTGGGTCTGGCGAATTGTTGGGTCTCACGAATTGGGCTCAGTTTGTACTGTTTGTATGTACTGTATTGTACTGTGTATATCGGCTTTTAGGAGTGTTGCACAGTACACCCTGGGCTGGCGAATTGCAATGTTTGGTCTGGCATAATTCGAGAGCAAGCTGGGCAAGCTGTCGAGATGAGGTGCAACAGAAGTTGAAAGAATGAACAGACGTTTTGGTGAACGCATTGGTGTTGAAAAGAATAGTATTCTTATATAACACAGTGGGTACTTACACGTACGTTTCAACCTTGGGTGTGAAGAGCAATGACAAACGTACTTTCACTTCGGACGGGTGCCGGCCAAGCTGCGAACCATCCAGACTGGTATGGCTTCAGAGCTTCATGAAGAACCTTTATGTTTCAACCACTGAGACATGCCAGGAAAAGCGGATCACCTTGATTTGCAGCATCAAACCTTTTCTGGAGATTGGTTTCCTCCCTGGACAGTGAAACAGGTGGGAAGCCAATATATATATATATATAGCCATACTACTAGGAGCGTTCGGACGCGGACCGAGTCCGGGGCGGCATCGCGACTTCTCGAACGGAGCACACCGAACCGGACGCGGACCGAGTCGAACGGAGCACACTACGACCGGACACCTCGGACGCGAACGGAACCTTCAACTGATGAGGCGAACGGACACCGATGCGTCAGACTCAGTCATGCCCCGAAAGTCCATCGGACTGCATGTCCGTGAAAACAGGCGAGAAGCATGCGAAACATCCACTGATCCACTGAAAAGGAAGACAACTGACAACCCACCAAACACTTTGTGCCGGGCATGGTTCCAGGCACGAAAACGATAGCAACACTTCAACAAGCACTGTGACGTAGCGAGCTAAATCACCTTCCCCTCAACGGCTCACATATGTGATTTCCATGGACTGTAAAAGAGGAGGGAATGATGTTTAAATGTGGGTGGGTGAGTTGCTTGCTATTCCACGGGCTGCATGGAATTGGAATGTCAACTTATGTCCTCATGTCTGCCAGGTTCCACGCACCAAATGCATGCAGTGCACTGTATACTACACATTCATGTTGCACTTAGTCAAAGCACTTTAAAACGACAATAAATAAAAACACACTATTTTTAAGAGTGGTATAATAGGCATATTAGTATATTAGAAGGTTTTGTTCACACAACCTCAGGTCTTGATTTGATAGCACTTTCATCATGGATGAGACCTGCTTCAAATGTTCAAAGCATGTTCAATTCAGGGCAGATGTGGGTGGTCAATGTTCTCCGTTTCCAGTGGGGCTGGATGGTACGCAGCTCTTGAGTCATGGCCTTCCACCAAGACTGGATGGTTCACGACGATGTCCCTGAAGTAACGGTCATGGTGAAGCGAACCTGATGAAGCACCTGATGAAGCACCTGATGAAGCACCTGATCCCATCCAGGATCCAGTCTTACCTTCTCAGGTTCGGTACATGGATCTCCTAAGACCTTGCTGGTCTACAGAACAGTGAGACACCTGCTCACAGTACGGGTACGTAGATCATACGCAGATTCCAGGCGAATGTGTTGTGTGAACAACCGGGGAGTTGGGCGAATGTGTCGACCAGATTGAAGCAGATATGTTTGCTTACCTCAGCGGCAGATTTTTATCGACTCATGACAATCTTGAGCGATTACTGGTACAATGTACTTGTGCATGCTGAAGCTTTGGGTTTGTGGTGGTCCAGCATCACATTTGCACAGATCATGGGTCACCTGAGTCACCTCGATGTGGGAAGATGGGGTTTGCGAACCTATCTTGGCATGTTGTGCGTGATCTATGGAACTGACAAACTGGACCTGGTAAAAGTGTCTTGAGATCGTAGATCTTCAAGGTCTTCAGATGGAATGTAACTGTGTTAATCATGGCAGACCCTGCAGAGGTCAGCCTCAGATGTGACCATGCTGCAAAATCCTTGCAGTTTTTGCTGGACTCACCGATTACGTACGAGAAGCGTTGCCCGAAAAGCGTTGCCACCAGCCTGGCGAGAAGTCGTTTTGCAGGTTGGGGAACACTGACATGCATGAACTCAGAATCCTACAGTGCAGACATGTTCAAAGCAACGCAACTGGCAGCCTGGCCGGTGATAGACACCCTGCCTAAAAGGATTATTTACCATAAGATGCCATAAGTATATTGTGTGTACATTTTTTTGCTGGTGTACATCCCAATGTCCCGGGCTCTTTTTCACTTAGAAATGGCCTTCTTGTTCACCATGTCATCCTTGCGACGCATCAACCGGCTGGTTTGAGGGGCACCATGTCATCCTGTCTTGTTTTCTGGTCCGATGGTCTTTCTTCCCAAGTTCGGGTGCATAGTCTTTATGTCCTGACTCCACAGCCGTGGTTTGAGGAACCATATGATGATAGTCCATATAATACATTGTTGATACACCGCAAGGCTTCTTTTGTCGGTGCCAATGATACGTATCGGTGGTCAGCCGATAGATCCATACCCTTGTGGACTGTTGACTGCGGTCCCACGCAAAGCGGCTTCTCGTGAGTGTCTGGCTACTCGTGCGCCCTCGGACAGATCCGACACAAAGATACAAAAAGGATTTTGCTGCAGTCGTTGCTGAGGCCATTCTCTAAGGTATATGAGAGTATGGCATGGCCACGAAATACATGCAACATATATATTTGTTGCATGCTTATCTGATTATTCTCCCGAGGTAGAGCTTGAAAACCGGCTGACCACTTACTACCCACTGATCAGTACGTTCTCACTCGGACATGAAGCGGACCAGAACCCAACAAGAACCCAGAACATCCCAGAACATGAGTATCAACACATCGGCTCGCCGACGGGGTGAAGTCGGACGACGTCTCTCGTCCAGACCCGTCGACGACGCGCGGGAAACGGGAAGGTGGAAGCCGAATCCCCCACAGGAATCGGAAGAGATGTGAGAGAAACGATGTGGTTTTCTTTTCTTTTTTTTTTTACAGTTTCAATCCCCAAATGCGAAAAGGAAAACAAAAACATAAAAAAAGCACACAAACCTTGGGGGGTTTATGGTATGTTATGGTTTTCTTTTTCTTTTCAATCCCGGGGGGGCATGGTTGGCCCGAGCAGCGCCGAGCAGCAGCTCCGCAGTTCCTGGTGGCGGATCGTCGAGCCGCAGCCTGGGTGGCCGAGAATGGGGCGGTGAAGAGACGGGCGGGGTTCGAACTGTGAAGGGCGTAATGCAGTGCTTCCCTTTTTCTTTGAATCAAATAGTAATTGTATATAAAGTTGTATTATAAATCATATTAGGTTTGAATATATAGATGTAAAAAAGAAACACATATATATATATTTCTTTACAACCTAGAGAACCTGAGCGTTGCGCGCCGCGCAAAATGAATGGCTGCCGTCAAAACCCGTTTCACCCTGCAACCGGTCAACCGGTAGGTCCCCCAGTGCGACCCACAGCCGTTGCTTGATCCGAGTGACTCATCGTTTTCATCCACCCACCAGGTCAGACGTCGGGCTTCATGCTTCAACCAATGCGCGAAGCACCAGACAGACGACGACGGAGATCCAGAAATGACCGAAGCCACGGCCAGATGTTTTAAAGCCTGGGCGAGGGCAGAGGTAGTGAATTTACTGCTCATTAATATATCATTAATTGTTAATGTTAAAGATAGATATAATACTGGTATTGTAAGTGCATCATACTAAAATGCATTCACTGTTCTTCTCAAACTTCCTTTTTCCAGGTGGCAGTTTAGTTCTAAGAGTAAGTTGGAGTCAGTAAGACTCTCTAGTCAGCAAGAAAACAAACAAACAACAACATGAGTAGGTGACGTACTTCAAGTGTTGTCCCCTGCGCTGGATGCACATTTTCCCACACTCCATCGTTCACGGACGAACACTCGATCGGACTGGAACATAATATACCTGCATCTTCCAACTATGCAACATGTTTGTCTTTTGGGTGGTGTTTGGAATGAAAAGGCAGATCGTTTGCCTAGTTGGAAGATCCAGGAGTTTATACGTACCTATACATTGAAACGACCCCATCTTAGGTCACTATGTGCCAGTTCCATGCAACTCGGTGTTTGCGGATGGATTTGGGCCAATCTCAAACTCCACGTGCTGAGGTGGATCTGAGCCTCGGCCAAGATCGGCTTCAGAGTTATGTTCCCAGTCAGGGGCACCCGGTGCTAGTGAAGAGACAGCGAAGAGACCGGGATGATGATGACAGGGAGCTTGACTTGTGAACAGGGGAGTAGAAATGAGTTCGTTGGTTGCACCGGCTACGTAGAAGACTCAACAAGGTGTAATAGATTTGTTGCTTGCTGAGCTACTGAGGAGGGATGAAGAACCAATGATGATTTTGGTCGCTTCTAGTGAGGAAATGTGTTTTTCATTTAAGGATGTCAAGTCGCTCGGAGTCATGGAGAAAGTCGAGGAGTGGAGACCAGCGGAGAAGTTGGGTCCACCCGCCCTCTTTGGTGAAGGATGTCAATATATTCTGTACCAGCACCCGACCTCACAGGTCAACACCTGCCACTTTCAAGTCTCCAAAAGCCACCAGAGGGGACCTGTTGGAGGGTGGTAATTGTATACACTCTTATTACTCTTTAACTTTCTAGCCAACTTCTAACCAAGTTTACTTTTATATACTTGTAATAGATGTCTTGCCTACCTGGCTGTCTAAACTCAGCTAAGCACGGAAAAATCATATATGGGTTAGTTTTACCCTTTCTTCAAACATATGACATGGTCCACTTCAGCATCCTCCACATCACCACGTTCGGTCCAGCGGTTGGGAAGCAAACCGCCAAGCGGTCGCTTCGGTCCTCGGGACGGAGCCCGCCTCGTCGCTGTGGACCGAAGGTGCACCTGGTCGTTGCCATGCCTTAGACATTCGGAGGCGGAGCCCCGCGGGCGGTCCAGCCCGTTGCGGCGGAGAGCAGCGTTTTGAATGGTTTTTTTCGACCAAGGAAACGGGCAACTCTGAATGGAGCCAGGGGTCTTGAAGATTTGATCCAAGTGAAGCATGTGAAACCCAATGGGGCATAGAGCGCCTTGTCTCCGCCCATGTTAAGCTCTTTAAGTTTCGGTTGAAGGCCATCGCGGTCGTAGGTTGGAGCATGGGTCCTGGTCATGGCCGTGGCTCCTTTGGGTCAGATCGTGGAGGGGCCCAAACACGGAGATCGCAATGAGTGGTCCAGGGAATCCAGGTTCTTTGGGGTGTTTGGATGGTGTGGAAGGTGTATAATTATATATATATACATATTTTTTAATATTTTTTATTAATCTAATATATTATAGGATTCATAAAATGATCTGATATATCATATATACCTGTGTATATATAATTGATGTTTTGCAAGCTTTGCAGGATTGGATCCAGCTATATGTGCCTCTCACGCTTGTGAGCACGTTGCGGTGGTCACGCGCCAGGGCGATCAACGCACAGGCGGCGCAAGGCAGGATGTGACGTTGACGCAGGAGGTGAATGTTCTGAGCGGTTCCTTTTCTTGGAGAGTGCTCACTGGCGTTATTGGTTCTTCCTGGCCGAAATGAGAGCCTAGCTCGTTCGAAGCAATTTATGACAGATCAGCCAGTTCAGCCGGTGTTTTTTCCACTCCTGTTCAATTTCACGAGGAGTCGAGCAAGATGGGCAATTTGGTTTTATACTATTATCGAATTGTGTTGTTTTATTTCTATTTCTCTACGTGTTACTTCTGTGGCTTTTGCCGTTTGGGGCTTCTGTGGAGTTGGCTTTTGGCTTCGGTGGCATTTGAGGCTTGTGGCTTGTGTGACTTTGGGTTGGTTTGGTTTTGATGGCTTGGACTTTTTGTGGTTCTGGTAGATTTTCAGGTGTTGATCACATCGTTTAGTTGGCATTTTGCAGCTTTTTGGTGGCTTGGCACTTGGTTTGCTCTTCGGTATGAGGCTTTGTGCCCAACCCTGCCCTCCAGCTTTTTCAAGCCAAGCCAGTTCCAGCCAAACCCCCAAAAAAACAGAAGAACTGACTAAACCACAGCCGACCTAAAGCCAAGTGCAAGCAGTTTAGGGCAGGGGATGCCCCCTCACCACCACTGAAAAAACTGCACCCCCAGGACAACAGCGCTGGCAACCTTCCTAAAACTCCATAGGCTAGAAAAACCAAACAACCATTGGAGCAAAGGAACACCAAACTAACATTGCAGTCGTTGTTGACGGGGGACGTTTCAAGTTGGTTGTGAAACAGATAGAGGAGTCGTTCGCTCCTAGTCAATCTGCCCAAACCGAAACCCACCTACTTCCTTGTGTTGGCTCGGCCCTGGGCGCCCAGACCCCCTTTGACGGCGGTCAACAATGTCTAACGGCTTGGCGATGAAGCGCCGGCCTATGATCTACCATGCACGGTAGTCGATGGTCGTCATCTCTTAGGGTATCAAGATGTGTAGCTGTGCTCTCCTTTCCGGGTTTATACCCGTTTGTGTCCACCCAGACGATGGATGACAGATCACTTCCTCTACGGATTACTTTTCTTTTCCAGTTCGGCCACTCTCGCCTCTGGCCGTGTGACACGTTCCTGGGCCGAAACCCACGAAACGGCCACCGTTGCTAGGCCAAGATCAGTTGGGGCACCTGGCACTCCGTTCCGTGATGTTTGCCCAGACCATCCGGACTGGAAGATTTACATTGGGATTGGGGTAGTTTCAGGGATCTTATAGGATGTTTTACATTCCAGTCCCATGGATGGTCTGGGAACTGGGCACCCCTTGGATGGTGCTAGATGGTTTTTCTAATTGGGGTAGTCTGAGTTGTGTGTACTCTTGGAAGAGACGTAGTACGATATACTGTACATCACATGGATTTTGAGTCCTCCAAACGCGTGACTTGACCCACAATTACCGAGAACCCATCCTGGAATATCCTGAACCTGTTGATAGGAAAAGTCCAGAGTTTGGATGTTTAGTGCTGCAAAACCGGGGTCAGCCAGATTCTACGCATCACAGAGTGAGGGTCGACCATGACATGGTGGACAACATTACCAATTCTGCACCGCCTTGGACCCACATGGTAACTTGACTCGACCACTGCCAGGGAGGCAAGATGCTGCTTGAAAGACTAGGAGGCTGCTACTACTGCTACTACTACTACCACCACTACTACCACTGCTACCACTACCACCACCACTACCGCTACTACTACCGCTACTACTACCGCTACTACTACCGCTACTACTACCGCT